CTCCCTCTGCTCCTTCTCCCTCTCTCTCTCCTTTTTTCTGTCCTGCTCTCCTCCCACTGTCACCAGAGCTTCCTGCTCCCACAGGATCCCGGCTGGAGATTCCAAAAGGAGGCTCCTGGCCTGGGCACCGTGCCCGTCCAGCCTATATAGGTGCTGCCAGAGGCTTATATAGGACATCAGCAAGCTCTCCACTTTGGAATCGTTGCCCCGTCTGCACACCTCACCCTCAGCACCCTCCTCCATCTGTCTTTCCTTCTCCCCCCTTCTCTTTCTGGTTCCCCCCAGATTTCTTCCTCCTCTTCCCCCCCCCCACCTCCTCTCACGCCTCCCTCACCTCCCCTCCCGGGGCACAGCCCTCCTCTCCAACCTTGGCGTCAATGCCATTGCCCCCCACCCCGCGTTCCCGCTTGCCCCAGGACTGCATCTGTGACTGGTTTGGCCCCCCACCCGTCTGCCTTGCACACCTTAGTGATGGGTAGTGAGCGGCACGTCCACAATGGGGGGGCATGCGGGGGGCTGGCAGACTGCAGCACTGAGAACGTAACTGAACTCATGTCTCTGTGTGTGTATGTGTGTGTGTGTGTATATGTGTGTCTCTCTGCTCTCCTTCTCTCTCTTTTCTCTGCCTCTTCCCCCTCTTCCTCGACTGGGCCCTGCCCCCCTGCCCCTTCCCGGCCCCCTACCCTCCCCAGGACCCATGCGGACTGCCCGCAGCTCCTGGATACAGAGGACATGGTGCGGCTTCGAGAGCCTGACTGGAAGTGCGTGTACACGTACATCCAGGAGTTCTACCGCTGTCTGGTCCAGAAGGGGCTGGTAAAAACCAAAAAGTCCTAACCCCTGCTTGGGGCCCCACGGTGAGAAACGCTGCCTCCCACCTGGCCCATTTCACTGGAACCTGCTCAGTGGGGCACAGAGAGGGCCCCAAGAGGTGGGTGGGGGAAGCAAGCGGAAACTTAGAAAAGCCAGAGGAGCCGAACATAGTCCAGTCTTCTAGTAGCTCTGCAAATAGCAGGTAAAACCATTCTAAGTGGGCAGTGATAACCCAGGGGAGCAGGACTGTGATGAAGAAGCCCAGGAGGCTGTGGGAGCCCAGGGGAGGCCACCTGACCCAGAGTGCAGGTCAGGAAGGCTATCTGAAAAAAGTGACTAAGCTGGGATTTGAACAAGTTCAGGCTACAGGAAGCAGAGGGAGTTCCAGGCAGAGGGATCAGCCTATGCATGGGGTGGGGCAAGAGAGATGGAGAGCAGGGCACGCCCAGGAAGGGGGACTTGAATGTGGGTGTGAAGGTGGAGGAAGGGGCCACAGGAGTTTGAACTTCCTCCCAAGAACGACAGGAGTCATAGGGTTTTCAAACAGAGGAGGGATAGATGTGGTCAGGTATAGCATTCTAGAACAATCCTTGGATGAGGGATGGAATGGACTAGATGGCTGGAGCAGCTTAAGTACAGGCTTCCCGACAGGTCTGGTTTGGGGAGGAATAGGGAGGGTCAAGAAGCCTCCCAGCCTTCCAGTTTGGGCACTGGGGAGTTGGGGGTGCTGTACTCCAAGGTGGGGAGCTCAGGAGCAGGACCAGTTCAGCAGGAAGATGTTTCTGGCTGGGGGTTCTGGATCCCCAAGCCAGCTGTGGCATTTCCCCTCTGGTCACCTCTGGTCACCTCACCTCAGGGCCATAAGTAGAGAATTCGGATCTTGATCTAACTACCCCATTACAGACAAGGAACTCAGAGAGGGAGAGAGGTGGGCTCAGAATGTTTGGGGGGTGGGTGGGTTAGATCAGAACTGCACCCAGAAACTGGGACTCCAGCCTCCCCACTTAAGTAGCTCTTTTCCTTGCTTCTTCACTGTTTTCCCACCTATTTATTAGAAAGAATTAAAAATAGAGGTCCAGAGGGAACAAGGGAATTGCCCGAAGTAATGTGAGTCAGGGACAGAAGTGCACTCTGATGCCCCTCGGGGCCTGGAGCCATTGTGGGGACAGCCCATGCATGCACACATATACTCAGAGGAAAGGTGCAGGTGAGGGGAGGATGGGCTTGGTGCTGTCTCCAGGTCATATATGGACTTAAGAGCTGCTGCCCAGCAGGCCAGCCTGGAGGGAGAAGGGCCCAGCCCTGCCCTGATCCAGTTGGAAAATGTGACTCAGCCATGCTGTTGCTCAAGTTGCCTGGTGTTTGGCCTGTCACTGGGGCAGCCTGAGCCCTGAGCCCCAGTGTAAACAATGGCTTTATAAGGTCTCCAGGGAAGACACCAAGGATAGAGGGGAACTCCAGGTTGGGGGATGGATGCCGGGATCCCCGGGAAGATAGCCACACTGGAAGAAGCTTCAGAGAGAAGCTGCCTCTGCACCGTGGTACAGCTGGGCAAACAAGCCCAGTCTGGGACAGGGATGACCCCAAGGGCACATAGCACAATCAGTGGCAGAGCCAGGAACCTCTATTCATCTTAAGTGTTTCCAAGGTTTCAAATGAGATAGGGAATGAGTATACTGTTATAAAGAGGGGCAAACTGAGTCTCAGAGCAAGCCATTATCTAGCATACACAGCTGGTCAGGGGTAGAACATGATCTGAAACAGAGGTTTTCTGCCTCCCATGCTTCTTCCTTGAAGGAGTCCAGGTGATCTGGGAGTAGGCCCCAGCCCTACCATGGTCCTGGGCTTGGCCATGAAGGCCCAATATGGGAGGTGGTCTTGGACTCTTGGGTGTCTTGGGAACAGGGGCAGTTCTGGCCCTTATACCCTCCCTGCCAAAGGAAACTCATTCAACAACACTGACTTTGTGCTTACTATGTGCCAGGCATGGCAGATGGGAGAGGGCAAACGAAGCAAGGCAGAAGAGGTCTTGCTCTGGGAGAGGAGGGAAAATGGACCCGGAAGTCAGACTACAGCTTCAGAGCTATGGGGCTGTCAGTTGCTTAGTAGCCACAACCCACTCACCCCTGAGTGGGAAAAGGGCTCCTGCAGTAGGGAAAAGGGGACTCCAGGCAAGTGCCAACACCCAGGAATAGGGGCCTGGGTCCCATCAGGCCCAGTCTGTACCTACTGAGCTGTTGGGCTTGAAACAAACAGCTCCTTGGCTTTATGACTCAGTTTCTCTGTCTGTAAAGTGTAGCTAGCACTTAGAAGGATGGTCAGAAGGGTGGTCCCATCTCTGTGCATTGTGTACATGGTCCACTTGGTATTGGTTGGGATCCCTCCCTGCCTCCTCTGCTCTACCCAAGGCTGGTGATAAGGCTTAAAGAACCCCTCCTCCGTCCCACACTCCCTGGCCTCCATCTCATGCAGCAGGGTTGTCCCCAGGAGCAAGGAAAGGGATTCCTGGGACTCTCTGAAGTAAGTACCAGCTCAGGCAGCTGGCAGGTAATTATCATAGGCCCAGAGGGTCACTGGGGCAAGTCCTGGCCATGAAGAAAGATTGCCAATGGTGAAGCCCCTCTGGGTACAATGGCCTAGCTGAGAGGCCTGTACCAACGGGAGTGCCAGTGAGGGTGAGCAGGAAACGGCCCTCCAGAGGGAACGTGGGTGGGGTCTGGAGCCAGGACCTCCCCAGGGCTGGGGGAAATAGACCTACAATCTGCCTGACTAGGATGAGGCTTGGCTCCCTTCTCCCCTCATTTTCACCTCAACCTGCGTAGTTTCGCTCCCCACAGGGATACCTCCAGGCTTGGGTGGATGGGGCCAGAGACTTCCTGCCTTCCTGCAAGGTTTTATCCCTAATCGCTGAAGAGTCTGGAGTTTTTCAAAGACCAGCAGGCTGCGCAATGAAAAGACCCCGGGGTAGAAGGGCTCGGCGAGAGGCAGGGCCGGAGCTGACGACCACCTCTGTGCCCCCTCCCCGCAGGATGCTAGTGGACTGCGTGCCCCTGGTAGAGGTGGAGGACATGATGATCATGGGCAAGAAGCCCGACCCCAAGTGCGTCTTCACCTATGTGCAGTCGCTCTACAATCATCTGCGGCGCCACGAGCTGCGCCTGCGCGGCAAGAATGTCTAGTTCCCCCGCCCGCACGGCCTGCCGCGGAAAGCTGCTGCCCTCAGCCTCCGGGCACGGTCCCCCCCGTGCGCCTGCCCACCGCTGCCCTGTCAATCGCAACACCTTACCCTGCATACACACGCAGCGTTTTGATAAATTATTGGTTTTCAACGATCCTGACTCCTGCCCCTCTTGAGTGGGAGGGGTTGAATGAAGGGACAAGGTCCCCAACTCTGGCAGCCCGGGTGTTGGGGATGCGAGGTCTCTCGAGGATATTCAGGGGCTTGTATTCCGACCTCCCACCCCACCTGCCTGCAGCAAGGAAGGAGTCGAGCCTCAGGTGGAAGGGTTTTAGTGGAGCTGCGGAAGGAAGAAAAGGGGGTTGGGAGGAACCTCCCCAACCCCATTCGTTCTGGCTCGGGGACGTGGCGTCGGCACTCAACAAGGGAAGTGCTCCCGGGATACTGAGCGCTTCATTCTGTCTCCAGGGCTCAGGCAGGGTGGCCCAGCTCCATCGCGCCCCCGGTTTTAGTGGAGCTGCGGAAGGAAGAAAGGGGGGTTGGGAGGAACCTCCCCAACCCCATTCGTTCTGGCTCGGGGACGTGGCGTCGGCACTCAACAAGGGAAGTGCTCCCGGGATGCTGAGCGCTTCATTCTGTCTCCAGGGCTCAGGCAGGGTGGCCCAGCTCCATCGCGCCCCCGGACCTACAGGTCGGCGCGGTCCGAAGCTCCTTCAGGGAGCCTAGCGGGCGCCCACACGTACTCGGGGGGCACCTGCGCGTCGGGCGCCGCCTTGCGGTAGAAGCCAAGCTCCTGTACCAGTGCGTTGATCTCCACGCGGGTCATGTCGCTGAGTGGGATACGCTGAAGGGGGGGAGAGGGGCGGGGTCAGCGCGCCGAGCCCCGCCTCTTGCCCCCCGCCCCGCCTTGCCTCCCTTCCGTGGACTTACCTCCAGTTCCTCGTACCTGCGGCCCAGCAGCACGAGCTCGGGGTCGGCCCCAGGGAGGTGCTTCATCACCAGGTTGTGGCTGGAGGTGGTGTTAAGGGGGGTTGTGGTGGGAAGAGGGAGTGGGGCTCCCGGGGCCTTGCCGATGTAAACCGCACCGCCTCCTTTGCTGAGCGCTCGGGTGGGACCGGGATCCCAATTTACACGTGAGGAAATTAGAATTCAAAGAAAGGGTCCTTCTCTCCATTCTTTGGAAGTCATCACTAGTCAATCTCTCTTGCCTACCCAATTTGGAGACCACCTCAGAATACTCTGGCCAGTCACTACCAATCAATTCCAGTTGCCAGATGAAAACTATTTGTCATCCCCATCTGTGAAGTTAGGTGGAAGGAGATTCTCCCAGATGCCCTCCCCATTTCCTCTTCCCAGAACAGAAGGAGGATACTAGAATGGAATGTCCTGGGTGACGAAGGCCTTCACCTGGGGAGGAACCAGAGCATCAGAGAACATGACCTCACACACCGCATCCCCCAGGTACAGACAAGAAACTGAAGCCCATTGAGGTCATAGAATGAGTCAGGTGGAAGCTCCTGACTCCCAGCCCAGGGATCCTCCTGCTGCCCCCAATCATTGGGACCATGTTGCCCATTCCCCAAGAGGCTCAGGGAGGACAGAGCTGGGGATCCCTTCCTTCAAACTCACCTCCTTTAGGCGGTTCAGCTGTCATCCCCCACAGGTCTGGAGAGGGAACAAAATGGAATGTCAGGAGTCCCTCACATCTACCCAATACCATTTCATCCTCATCTCCAAGCTGGGTTGGGCTGTGAGTTATCCCTGGAACAGCAGTTCCCAGGGTGTGAAGTAGATGGAGGGCCCTTGTGGGCAGAAGGGGAAACTGTACAGGTGGGGAAAATCAGGCCTAGAGACACCAGGGGAAAAGGGGAGCAAGGCCAGAGACCTGCAGGCTGCTTGCCAGCCTTGGAGTTTTTGCCTGCACACTGTATTGACTGTTGACTCACTCCCAATGCCCAGGAGAAATGACCGCCCTGCTCCTCTCAGGCAATACAGACCTGAGCCTGGTCTTTGGCCCCTGAAACCCCAGGGTGAAGGCAGACCAGAAGGAAACAGCTCAAAACTGCCCTGGGGGCCCCTATTATAGATACCTGCCATCTGGTCCCTACCCCACCACATGCAGAGCTGGCCCTGCCTGCCACCTGCCACCCAACCCCACAGACCATCTGGTTGTTTCCCTGATATGGAAGGATGAGAGGGCCCCTCCCTGCATTCCCTAAGGAAGCCACCTTCCACACCTTCCAGCAGGAGTCCAGACCCCAGGACCACTTATTCCCAGCCTTCCTCATCTTACCGGCTTTTGTCAGAGAGAAAACTTAAGGCCCAGAGAGGGTCTGTGATGGTCCAAGTCACATAGCAGGACAAGACTCGGGAGGGGGATTTCTTAGCGGGGGTTGGGTGGGGAGCGGAGCTGTACAGTTAGTGTTGGTAGACGAGTTCCCGGCGCCCTTCCCTGTCTCCCGCATGGTGGCGGGAGGAGCTCCGAGGTCTTCCCTCCCCCCAGAAGAAGGAATAAAGACTCTCTAGAGCCCCAAGCCCTGGAACTGGGGTAAGGGAAGAATTCCAGGAAAAAGTGGAGTGATGGGGGGGATGGGAAGTTGGGCTCCAAGGGGTAGGTTTGGGAGAGTCACAGGCCAGAGAAGAGTCGGGTGATTGGATCAATGTGTCTGGGGACCGCTGTCCGGCCGCATGAGGAGGTGGGGAAGGGTTTGGAGTTCCAGGCCGCAAGGTCGGGTGTCTCGGGCTGCCACGGTGGGTGCTGGGGCATCCTGGGGCTGGGGAACAGGAGGGATGGTCCCGGCCCTGGATGGGGGTGGGTAGGAACTCAGGGGTCGGGGTGGTCCTGAGCCGGAGTGGGGCTGTGGTCCCAAGGTTATGGGGCTGCAGGTGGGGGGACGGTGGAGCCGGGGCTGGGGGCCGACGCACTCACCTCTACCCGGGCCCGGGCCAGGCCTCGCAGTCGGTTCCAATCCGGCCGGTAGGTGATGGCGGCTGTGGCTGAGGCCACAAGCGCCGCCAGAAGCAGCAGGAGAGGCGGCGGAAAAAGCGGGAGGCGCATCGGAACCCGGCCGAAGAAGATCCGCAAGCTGGAGGTTAACCACCCGGCCGCTGCGCCACGTCTGGGCCCGCAGGCTGGCCCCGCCCCCGCTATTGGCCCCGCCCCAGCAGAGACCACAGCCCCGAAGCCCGGTCTCCGCCCAAGAGCTCACATGGGTGCCTCCAACGAGCTCCCGGCGCCGTCCCGGCTCCGCTCTGGCCGTCGGTCCTTTACGTTCTTAGTGCCGAGAGTGTCCACGTTCCTTCTGCAGACCGAGCGTGTGGACTCCTCCACAGGATGCAGCCAGACAGTACCACTTCACGCCGGCAGGGGGTGCAGGTGGGACGCGGACAAATACGGGAGTTTCTGGACCAGACCTTCGACTTTAAGATAGGGAAACTGACGCTTGGGGAATCCGTGTTTTTGCTTTTTATTTATTCGGACGAAATTCCGGTCAAGATCTCTATTCTCCAAAGCACACATTGTGGTAATGAAATGTTACTACCCTGTGTGCCTGAGACAATGTTAGCTTTCATTGACAGTTCATTCCTTACTCATAAAGGTCCCATGAACTCCGTTTTGCAGATTAGGAAACAGGCTCAGAAAGGTGAAATGATTAAGCTGTGATCTGGAATTTTAACTGGAAAGGTCTCTGTGATCATCTCAACAGAACCAAGATAACTAAGGGCCGGCCCGTGGCTCACTCCGGAGAGTGCGGTGCTGATAACACCAAGGCCCCGGGTTCGGATCCCTATATAGGGATGGCTGGTTAGCTCACTGGCTGAGCGTGGTGCTGACAACACCAAGCTAAGGGTTGAGATCCCCTTACCGGTCATCTTAAAAAAAAAAAAAAAGAACCAAGATAGCTAGATCAGGATGCCACTTTGGGGAAAGTGCATTAAGCAGAAACAGCAAGTCGATCACTATGCTCTTTCCCACTGATTTAGAGAGTCTTCTTAACATAGAACCAAGGCTGCACTATGATTTTCCTGGATCCTAGGTAGTTTTGCCTTCCTGGGCCCCTTCCACCATTTAAAAAATATATATTAAAAATTGGATTTTACATCTGCTTTGGTAAAAAGATGAATATAATCCAGGCTGGAATCATTACATTATTATTATTATATGTTTTCCTTCCAATTTTAAAAGAAATTAAAATTAAAACATTCTCGTGGACTCTTAAAAGTATCATGGGCCCTAGACACTGAGCTTACTGTGCCTCGTGGATAATTCAGGTCTGCACTGAGCCCTTTGCTTGCATCTTGCTACCTCGCTTTCACTGCCTTGATTGTAAAGACATAAAAATAATAGGCTTAGAGCTGGTTTTTTTTTTTTTTTTTTTTTTTTTTTAAAGATGACCGGTAAGGGGATCTTAACCCTTGACTTGGTGTTGTCAGCACCACGCTCACCCAGTGAGCTAACCAGCCATCCCTACATATGGGATCCGAACCCGGGGCCTTGGTGTTATCAGCACCGCACTCTCCCGAGTGAGCCACAGGCCAGCCGTTAGAGCTGTTTTTTAATACCAATTTTTTATAAATACATGAGGATGTGGTAAATATGATTGGTTCTGTCCAGACTATTAGCATACTAGGCTATCTCCAACACTGTATTTACTGCTGAGGAAGTATTAATTCACCCAAGCTTACTTTTTTGTTGTCATTCCACTAAATGTTTTCATTTTTATTTTTATTTAACTATTAGAAACAGCAGAATTAACACAACATTCAGCAACTCCACACTGGTTTTTCTAACACCAGTGAAAAATGATCAATTTAACAGGCGCAAAGTTAAGGATTCCTAATAACCTGTCACCTCGCACTGCTGCTTGTCTAAATGGCCATGCCTCAGCAACAGCAAAGCCACTCCTCCTATTGATGTTTCCAGTATTGTTCTTTTTTTCTTTTTTTTTTTTTTTTTTGCCTTTTTGTCTTTTTTCGTGACCAGTAACGGAATCGCAACCCTCGGTGTCACACCCGCACCGCGCTCAACCAGTGAGCGGACCGGTCTCTATATGGGATCCGAACCCTCGGCGGGAGCGCTACCGCACTCCCAAGCGCCGCACTCTACCGAGGGCGCCACCTGGCCGGCCCCTCCAGTATTGTTCTTTAAAGGTGCCAAAGCAAGATACTGATACCTATCATACCATCCAAGGTATACCATGTTGGGGTCTAACCTTGATGCCAGCCTCAGTTGTCTTGGAGACAACACTGTGAAAACATTCTCGGAAGATGCCATTGTGTGCAATTCTGGACTAAGGTGCACAAAGGCAGAGGCAATGAATCTTTCACTCTCTTTTTTTTTTTTTTTTAAACCTCCCTTAAAGATTTGTTGATGCTTTGCTCTATTACTGTAGACCTGGTCTTTTTACCTGGATTTTTTCTTCTTAAATTTTGGGTTGCTATCCTTACATTAAAAATTTGATGACCCCATCACAGTACCAAAATAATCCCAAAAATGGAGTTCAAATTTGATCAACATAAGCTGGGGTGTGTGACTATTTAGAATTATAAAGGACAGGCAGCAGGAAAAGTCACCCTAAACTGCTATCTGATTGCTCAGATCTTGCCTGTGTAAATGGCAGCAGGAAAGAGGAGAAATCTACATGCAACACTGAACTTAGGAACACTGCTTGGATCCTTCTGACTGTTTACATCTCTCAGCTTTCCCCTACTTCTAAGACAGCTGCTCATACAGTTTATGCACATAGTCATCCCATTCAGCCTGGTAACGCATGCCAGGCACCAGGACTCAGCTCATACTTTTTACAGAAAGATGCCACCTTGAATTTGCCACTGTGGTCTCCAGATCAGTTGCTGAGATTGCATTTGTCACACATCGGTAGGCTGTGCTGCTTGTTAACCAGCCAGATATAGCTGTGGAGGCCTGTGCCTTTGAGCCTACATAATCAAAGAGGACTGCGCCACTGCAGATATCATCATCCTTCATGTTGACCATCAGAAAATGGTGCTATTCCCTGTATTTGGAATCCTTCCTGCTGGGAGTATCTGGGTCTGGCAGAACCAAGGTGTAGAGTTTACCTGGATCAAGACCATCTCATGCAATGCTGGTGGGCTGGTTCTTAACCTGGGTGGGCATCAGCACTTTGCCCAGCTTGTCCACCTCCACCCTGGCATAGGTGACCAGCAGCTGGTGCTGTGACTGCTCGTCCACTTCCTGCAGGCCCAACTTACTTGCTGAGGTCCACCAGCATGGTGGGGATGAGTGGGGTGTTCAGCTGAGAGCGCCATCTCTCATAGGTGACCAGCAGCTGGTGCTGTGACTGCTCGTCCACTTCCTGCAGGCCCAACTTTCTTGCTGAGGTCCACCAGCATGGTGGGGATGAGTGGGGTGTTCAGCTGAGAGCGCCATCTCTAAGCTTTCAGCAAACTGGTGTGATGTGGCATGGGCCAAGAGATCACCCAATCGAGCTTCCTAAAGGACAATCTGATTCAGTAAATCACAATCCTAAAACTTGTGTTCTACCCAGTAATTCCACTTCTCAGAATTTGTCCCAAAGTAATCATCAAAGAAGAGACTGATTGTTTTGTCAAGGTTGTTTATCAAAACATGGGAGACACAACCTAAGCATGTCACAGCAGGGGATGAGTTAAATAAATTATGGTACCTCCACAGGATGGAAAACCATGCAGCTGTTTAAAATGATGTAGCATAGTGTTGAATGACATGGAGACTATTCATAGTTATTGTATTAAATAACTGAAAAAAAAGCTATGAAACAGTAATATAGTAATATCAGCTGGGAATTATGATGCTCTGTTTGCAAATCACACAAGTTTAAACTGGCTTAAACAATACATGGAATCTGTTGGCTCAATTTTTGAAAGTCAAATGACAGAGAGGGCTTCAGGTGAGGTTTGATCCAGTTGATGAAGTCACCAAGACCTGGTTTTTCTCCATTCAGCTTTCCATAGTGTCAGCTTATCCTTTGACCAATCATCTGCATGGTGTCAAGGTGGCTGCCAGCAGTAAGCAGAGCCACAGTCTTCTTCACTCACATCTAATGGAGGAGAGATCATCATTTTTGGTAACCTCCTCAGGAGAGAAAACAAGCTTTCTTTCCCAAAAGCCCTCCACGAAAGTCTCCTTATATCTCACTAGCCCATCAATGATCCAATCATGTGTCTGGGGAATGGGAATTGCTCATTGGCCCAACCAGTTGGGACCCATTCCTGAAGCTGTGGGCAGCATCCATCATATTCCAGTTCCTGTGAAGAAAGAGATGAGTTTGTGTCAGCAACTCAGTAGCCAACCAATTTTATAAAATATATATATAAATATATACGCCTATGTCAAAAAAAAAATCTAGAAGAAAACAATCTAGAAAGTCAAAATGGTCCTCTCTTGGTGGATGAAATTGTAGGTGAATTTTTTTCCTCCTTTACACTTTATTCTGTATTTTCTATAATAAGCATGTTTTATCTAAACACAAATAGTAAACTTTGCTTACAAAAATAATGGGACTTATCCCACTGTTTCCCTATGCTTCTACCCCACCCCAGAAAGGGCCCCAAGAGTGACTGAAGCCAGAGGCCCCACAAAGCCTGTGGTTTTTCTGCTGGCAGAGCAAAACCCCTGCGCCCTGTGGGCCCTTGTGGTTTGCTGGACAGATGCCACCAAACCACTCTCGTTGCATTAACCTGAACACTGCAGCCTGTAGGGACCACAGCTTGGGCTGCTGAGAGTTGACCAGCCAGCCAATGGAACCAACAGTGGAGACAGTGGCCACAGTAGTACCAGGAACATTCTAACATCAGCAGCATGGGAGGCCCAAGATCTCCCAGGATAGATCTCTGCTCGTAATCCATGCCCTTATGTGGCAGCATGTAATTTAGGACAGCAGCCTTCCTCGAGTGGGACTGGGGTTAGAGATTAGTCTGTGATGGGGTCAGACTCAGAAAGTGTTAAGTGCAGGCTCATATAGGGTCAGGGTCAGCCCGTACCTTAAAGGCAGGTTTAGAAGTGACTCTGAGGCTGAAGTCAGGGCTCAGTCAATGACTGGACTTAGTCTTCAGTCTGTGACCAAGATCAGTACATGAGCAGGGTCATGGCTCCACCAATGACTAAGCTCAGGGCTCAGCCTTTGACCAGATTCA